CCCACACACACACACGCGCGCGCGCGCGCACAGAGGGGCTGCCGACTCCCAGAGTGCACCGGGGTTTGCATCCTTAAGATAACGGCCGCCAGTCGACTACAGTTCCCAGAAACCACCGGGGCTACTGATTTGGAAACGTAGAGTTACGCCCTCTAACTGTTCAGACCATTAGTACAGGTGTCTGGACGAGCACAGGTGGCAGGGAACTGCCTTACCTTAGCGATGGAATAGCAATGCACCCTCAGAAAATTACATCTCCACAGAAGAGTTCCTCGCCTCTAAGGCTCTGCTCTCCGGAGACTACAATCCTCAGAAAGCCCTGCGGTCCCAGCCCTCTGGGACAGCTCCAACTCACAGAACAAAGTATAATTTCAGATCCTGGACAGGATGGAAGCTCGTTTTGTTATGTGCTGTTGAGTAAGACTCAGGGACAGTAAGAACAATAGATCTGAACCCTCCCCTATCCTGCCTGTGCAGTGCTGTGTCAATCCACCTGGTCACCTTGATCGCTGACCCCTCCACCTTTCCCAGCACTGTGGGAAGCCAAATTTCATACTAAATATTATATGATAAACCATATGCTTAATCAGGAATTGAAGGAAACAAAATATAAGCTGGAATTCCGCTTGTGACAGATCACAGGAAATGAGCTGCCTCCTGCAGACAAGAGGCACCTAAGGTTCCCCTGCAGAAGGAGTGTTAAAAGTCTATACTGGTAAACTACTTCCTTCTTGAGCTTAAGCATTAGGTTGACAATAGAATTGTCTTTATTATTTACTTCCCATGCTTCTCAAAAAAGACACAGAGAGGCATGGCTTGTGAAGCTTCAGTTGTTCGAACTCCTGGACCCGTTTTTTTAAGCTTTATTTCATTCTTGGTGTTCTGTCTCATTTTTTAAATACTTTATCCTCGGTCAAGCAACACAGTATGATGTTCCTTTCGCAGGAATAGCCTTTCCTACAACATGCCCAAAGCACGTGAGCTGAAGTTTCACCCTTCTAAGAAGCATTCTTGATGTACTTCTGGAGTTCTGAGGCCAATTCAGTGGCCCACAGGCATTCAGCTCCCTCCATGCCTAGAAAAAAGAACTGGAAAACTATACTCCTCCTGATTTCGACCCAGATCCCTGTAGTAAAACCCTGAGACCTAGATGATTGCACCTCCATTTCTGCAGTCCCCTCAAAGCTCGAGGGACACCTTCCATTTCTGACATGCCCAGGCACAAAGAGAAGATATAGGGATAAAAACAGATCCATCTGCTACTGCTGCTGTTGTTTTTAAAAAACATTATTTACACAGATAAAAAAATAGCAAGTATAAACAAAGTGGGACTGGATCAGGAGATGGCTCCATCTGGGTCCCATCTGGCTGAGAGTAGCAAATGCTGAAGAATCTCATCCTTGGGTTCGTTCCTTCATGCAAAGAGCAAGGGATCTACCTACTCCTACAGCTCCACCATCACAGCACACATACTAAGCCGTCTCAGGGCATCTAACTCTTCACCATCTTCACATGATCAAAGTTGTTGGCTAACAGAAGTCATGCTTGAGAGTCAGATCTTTAATTAATGACCTCAGGGTCTGAGTGGAGTTAAGTGTTTATGCCCTCAAGTAAGAACAAGCTCATAACTTCTCCAGGGGGTTTTCAGCACATAGCTGGTACAACACATGCCTTTGGGTTGGCTGGCATTGCAGCTCACTGCCAGGTCACCAGAGCTCCCCAGAGTGGAGTAGAAGGTGCAAAGAACTACTGTTCAATAAAAGCTATCAGAATCTGTCAGAGGAGGAAAATGAAATTACTTCTAACTAAAATGAACAATAAAAAAGGGGTAAAGCCAGTCCTGTCCGAGGCAGCTCCACTGAGTTCAGGTTCCCAGCTGTCAGCATGTACTAAACACACAAGAATTTTGTATTCTGCCAAGTCAGGGAAGATAGTTCAAATCAGAGAGTTTTACAAAAGAAAACAGGCAAGGAATACTTTGAAAGTTAAAAAAATAAAACACAGTTGGACTAGTGGGGCTGGGGAAAAGACACGAAGTGGTTTGAAAGAAAGCTTGAAACAGGTAAGGCTTCATGGAGCTTGGATGTTGCTCCACCAGCCGGGAGGAGATACTGAAGAGTTCTAATGTGGGACACTCATTGGCATGGTAGTACTGAAGATGAATTAAAGAACAAGTAAGACTGAACAGCACGAGTTCTGTATTTCCACACTACAACTGAAGTGCTGAGGGGAAGGAAGAAATGTAATTGGATATGGTAAATGGGAGAGAAGGAAGAACCAGGGAAAGGAACAAGGTGGTTAAGGGGGAAACTGAGAGAACTGTCAGCGGAAAGAATGAAGGGTGGTGGTGGTGGTGTTTGCAGGTCCCAGAGTAAACCTTCTACTTACATCCTATCTAGTTATCTCACCTTTTACAAGTAGTCGATTGGCTATCACTGAACCTGAAGAAGGGGCAGCGAATTCCTGTGACTACAAGCAGCAAGGACAGACTATGTGCTTGCTCCAATGATTGGAAATGGCAGAGAAAGCCTGTGTGCCAACCCTGGTGATTAGCCAAAAGGCAGTGGCAGAATTCATAAAGGACCAACTATATACAGACAGAGCTAAATTACACAGGCTTCCCTCATCCTATAAAATCCTTCCACAACAGCAGATCAGCAGTTCCTTCTTCAGGAACCTATACCTAGACCAAGAGGTTGTCGTGCAAACAGAGCAAATGGACATTACGACCTGGTTATAAATCAAGAAAGATGTGCATCAGGGTTTTATCCTCTCTCCATACTTACTCAAGCTGTATGATGAGCAAATTATTTGAGAAGCTGGACTCTATGGAGAATGATATGGCACAAGGATTGGAGGAAGTCTCATCAATAAACCCCCTTATGAAGATGACTTAACTTTGCTTGCTGAAAGTGTGGAAGACTCGAAGCCCTTGTATGGCGAGCCAAATTTCATACTAAGTATTTGTAATAAACTGAATATTATTTCAGGATGTGGGGGAGGCATGGAATAAGCTGAAACTCACCGTGAAGCACTAAGGAAATCCTTAAATGTTTACAGGGGTAGACATTAAGGCAATCCTTTAGCATTTACAGCATTCTTGTATTATATTTGCTAATCCCTCCCCCTAAGTCAAGCAGAAGGTTTTCAACAGAAAGAGCTTAGCTTCACTTGCATTAAATTCTCTTGGTGATTTGCTCCCAGGCAATTTTCAATAAAGACACAGGGAAGTTAAGGTCAGTGCTTCAGTTGTTCGAAAACGCCTCTTGCTTTACTTCTTGTTTTCTCCTACATTCTTGGTGTTCTGTGTCATTATAAATAGTTATAAAAATATTTTACCCTCGGTCTGTAACACCTTTGCTGCAGAAGATCAAAGAATATACCCTTCAATTTAGACTGCATCCAAATATCAAGAAAATAAAAATTCTCACCACTGGACTGTTAGGCAAGATCATGATAGTTGGAGAAAAGATTCAAAATGTCAATGACTTCATCTTACTTGGACTCAAAACATGCTTGGTACTAGCAGGTAGAAGATAGACTGCACTGGGCAAATCTGCAGTCACAGACCTCTCTAAATTATGCGTAACATTGATGTCAGTTTGAGGACTAAGGTGTGTCTGATTGAGGCCATGGTCTACTCAATCACTTGCTCATTATCTGAGAACGGGACAATGAATAAGGATGACAGAAGAATGGATACCTTTGAACTATGACTGAATATCCCATGGGTTGCCAAAAGAACAAACAGATATAACTTGGAGAAGGTGCAGCCAGAGTGTACCTTGAGGCAAAGACAACAAAGTTCAAAGGCAACTGGGGATGTTGCGAGAAGAGATTATTCCTTGAAAAGGGACATCACGCTTGCAAAGGTGGAGGGTCAAAGAGAGGAAGAGTCTCAACTGGATGGACTGACACAATAACTGCAGCAATGAGCTAAAAGTGTGTCAGTGATGTTGAGGATGACACAAGATAGGTCAAGGTTTGGATCTGTTTTCAGAAGGTCAGTATAAGCTGTACTCAACCCGATGGTATCTAACATCAGCAGCGACACGTCCTGATAAAGACAGAGGTACTATAAGGTATATGCATTTCTTGCTCCAAGTTAAATTACATGCGATTCCAAAAAACAAAACATACGGTGTGACAAAAAAGGAAACACAACTAAATATTTTTCTTACTTGTTTAAATGATTCAATTTATTAACATAGTTTAAAATCAACATATTTCAGCATGGACATCTAGCAAGCACTTAGAATTGGGTATTTACCCTTACCGATACGTATCTTATGGCTTCCACACGGCGTTCTCTCTACATCAACGTCTTCAATGTCTCTAAATCATTAGGCTTATCAACATTAATTCTTTAAAACACATGATAGCTGGAATACTTGCTGAATATAGGTCTACATTTAGAATTTCTGTTTTATTTCATTATGGAGAATGTGTTCTAGTGTACAATGAGGAGTTATTTCTTGAAGCTCTTGCCACACTGGTTGCATTCATGCAGCATTCATTCACATTACCATTGTGAAAAGCAGACGTGCTGCCAACCTGAAGGCACGCAGTTTGAATCCACTGGCTGCTCTGCTGGGAGAAACAAGGACACTCTCCTCCCGTGTGATTTACAGTCTCTGAAAACCCAGGGGAGGATCAGCTATGGGTTGATTTCGACGGCAGTGCTCAATGACGACAAGAAAATATGACCTTTGGAAGGTTTTCTGATATTCACAGTGAGAATCTTATATTCTCATCACAGCAAGTATTCCTTTGTGTAAGTTTTGACTATAATCGGAAAGTTTCTTCCAATTCTATGGATTCATAGGCTCATTCTATTCTGAGTTCTGATATTTAAGTCTGTTGAGCTGCTGTCATTTAACCTCATTAGGGAGCTGCTATCCTAACAATAGGGTCTGACACACAGAGTTTGATTATTCTGGAAAAGTATCATGACTGCACTGTAATACATTGACCTTTGACCTCTGCTTGAAGACTGTGAGTTATGTCTCTACAACTTTTTTCTTTTTATGCGTTCTCAGGTGATTAATGAGCTGTGACTTTTGAGAGAAAGCTTTTGGACATTCATTGCATAGGTAAGGTTTCTCTCCTGTATGAATTTTTTGATGATTAACAAGCTGTGACTTCTGAGAAAAAGCTCTCCTACATACATTACACCCATAGGGTTTCTCACCTGTATGGGTCCTATTATGTGGTATGAGGTGTGACTTCCGAGTAAAACATTTGCCACACTGGAGGCACGTGAAAGGTTTCTCTCCTGTGTGTGTTCTCCGGTGATTAATGAGACTTGACTTCTCCCTGAAGGCTCTTTTACAATCACTGCATTCATAGGGTTTCTCTCCCGTGTGACTCCTTTGGTGTCTAACTAGCTCTGACTTCTCAAAGAAAGCTTTCCTACAAAAACTACATTCATAGGGTCTCTCACCTCTGTGGATTCTCAGATGAGTGTTGAGCTGGGATTTCTGGGAGAAGGCTCTTTTGCAGTCGGTACATTCATAGGGCTTCTCTCCCGTGTGAGTTCTCAGATGCGTGGCAAGACTCGACTTCTCGGCAAACGCTTTCCCACATTCGCTGCAGCTGTAGGGCTTCTCTCCTGTGTGAGTCCTCTGGTGGGAGATGAGGTGTGACTTCTGACAAAATGCCCTCCCACATTCGCTGCACATGTACGGTTTTTCTCCAGTATGAATTCTCTGATGATTTGTGAGGCTTAGCTTTTCACTGAAAGCTTTGCCACATTCACTGCATTCGTAAGGCTTCTCTCCTGTATGAGTCCTCTGATGTCTAACGAGCTGGGATTTCCGGCTGAAGGCTTTCCCACATTTACTGCAAATAAAGGGTCTCTCCCCTGTATGTGTCATTTGGTGAGAGATGAGATGTGACTTCTGAGAAAAAGCTTTTCCACACTGAATGCATCCATGGGGTTTCTCTCCAGTGTGGGTTCTCTGATGATTAATAAGACTTGACCGCTCTCTAAATGCCTTCTGACACTCACTGCATTCATAAGGCTTCTCTCCAGTATGAACCGTCTGATGTCTCATGAGCTCTGACTTTTCAAAGAAGGCTTTCCTACACTCACTGCATCCAAACGGTTTGGTTCCGGTGTGAGTCCTGTGATGTGTAACAAGTTGTGACTTCCTGCTAAACGCCTTCCCACAATCCCTGCACGCAAAGGGTTTCTCTCCGGTGTGAATCCTTTGATGATTGATGAGGTTGGACTTTTCACTAAAGGCTTTCCCACATGCACCACATTCGTAGGGTTTTTCTCCAGTGTGGGTCCTCCAGTGTGAGATGAGATGGGACTTCCGGGAGAAGGCCTTCCCACACTCACCACACTCGTAGGGTTTCTCTCCGGTGTGTGTCCTCTCGTGAGATGTGAGCTGTGACTTTTGTGAGAAAGCTTTCCCACACTGGCTACAATGGTAAGGTTTCTCTCCCGTATGAGTTCTGTGATGTGTAATAAACTGTGACTTCTGGGGGAAAGTTTTGCCACAACTACCACAGCCGTAGGCTATTTCTTTTAAATGTCTGCTCTGATGTTTGATGAGGCTTGATCTCTTGTTGAAGCGTTTCCTACATTCAAAGCATTCATAAAGTTTCTCCCCTAGCCGAGTTCTGTGATATATGATAATCTGTGACTTCTTGTAGTTAATTTTGTCATAGTTATCAGATTTGTAATATTTTAACCAAGAGTTCATTTCCTCAGCATTGGGATTAAGAAAGAATTTATCGAAAACTTTAAAATCATTCGGCTCTGTTTTTTCACAATCCGTTTTTGGTACAAGGAAATCTAAATGATGCTTCGAAATTATTCCATCTAAGTCATCTTCACTGTGCAATTTCCTGGCAGGTACAAAGCTCATGTTTAGATTGAGTTTTTCCCCAATTGCCTCACAACCATGATTTCTTTTCTTATTATTCAACTTGTCTTGGTTATCTGGATGCCAGAGCAAATGACCATCAACTTGCCAAACTTCTATAAAGGAAAAAAAAAAACAAACCAACCATCAATCTTTCTGATTTTGTCTGTTTTCTTTCTATACCTGTTATTTGGGGTGGGAGGAATAATAGAGAGTGAGAAATATTCTGCTGAAGGGCAGACAGCTTTCTAAACATGGTGATTGGAGTATCAAGTAGAATGTCAATTCTCTAAACAATGATAAATAAATGTTGCATAAAGAGGAAATGGAAGGCAGATTAAATGGTTGTTGAGAAATGACTGTTAAATGGGGAAAAGATATTAAAATACTTAAGAGCAATGAGGACAAAGGTTGGGAGATGTAATTACTCAATATTCTAAAGGATTGGTTCCTTTAGGACACTGCTCATTTAACAGCATTCAGAGTACTTTCTGTGCTCCAGGTAAGGCACATTCTGAAGGACGGATTCCTTTAGGACATTGCTCATTTAACAGCATTCAGAGTACTTTCTGTGCTCCAGGTAAGGCACAAATCAGTGAGGGCACAAACAACAAGCCCCTCACACTATGAAACTTAAACAGGTAAGAACAGACAATATAGTATAGGTGGGAGAAAAGAGTGCAATCTCCTTCAGTGAGATTTAGAGCCTCTGCAAACAGCCTGGAAGATCAGCTCAATGGGTTGCATCTCAGGGGTACATAACTACAACAAGAAAAACATGAAAAGATTTGAGAGGGTAACTAGTTACTATAAACTCGAAGGACTAGAAATATTTTATGTACTCTTCCCCATTATTCAAACTTCCACAACTATTGTCAACATAATTAGAAAGTAACCCCAATCAACTTTTTTCCAAAACACATCATCTATAATCAAAACTCTTCAGGTACAGACTTTTATTATCCATAATGCTATCAATGAAAATATCGTAAGACCCAAATAGCCATTCACCACATGTGCTGACAATTACCACTTCTATATATTCTATTTCTATTCTTTTTGTAACATTTGGTACCATTTCAAGTGTTCTTTTAAAGTTTTATCACTTTAACAACAATCTAAACTAGGAATCTTTTGTGATGCTATAGTCACGAGTGTGAAAGAGATTAAATAATGTGAAAGCGTCTTTTGTGTGTGTGTGTGTGTGTGTGTGTGCGTGTACCATCAGATCTGACTGGCACAGGAGGAGATTGTCCCTCCTTCTCCAGTAGAGCAACTGGTGGATTCGAACCCCGTACCTCTGGGATTGCAGTGCAGCTTCTTGCCACTAGGCCACCAGAGCTCCCTGTGAAAGCTTCTTAAGGCTCTGAATGTCATCTGAGTGCAATAAGTTTGGGGAACATTCCACAACTCAAAGTTTGCAATATGTATTTTGGAAGTAGAGTCAACAAAATTTGCTGATGGATTTGAGCTAATGAGAATAGGACAACAGAAGAAATCAAGACCAACTCCTAGGTCTAATGTTTCAGTAATTCAGTGAATTACAATGTTGGGGAAGACTTAAGGGAAAGAAACATATGGATATTAAAATCAGGACTTCATTACATACATATGGAGATGTATATGAAAAGTTTAATAAAATAGAGAATGTGAGTAGAAAAAGGGGTAAATTAAACATCCTATGATAAAACGTGTATAAATGGTTAAGTAGAAGACAAATTTGCTTTGTAAACTTTCATTCAAATCACAATTTTAAGAAATTAGTTCATTTTTAAAAATGTTTATGGAGATGTTTATTAAATGGATTGCTATGCATTCTATAATAAAGTAAAAAAATATTATTATACATTCTTACATCTATAGGTCCCAGCTACTAAAAAGTATCAATGTGATCTCAGACAAGACATGAGAAAAAGGTAAGGAATATTTTAGGTGGATGAGAAAGATGGAAGGAGAGGATAAACTGTTCAGGGGTAATGAAGATTCTACTTTTTAATAAGAGACAATGAACAGAGTGGGTCTCCAACATTACTCCTCTGGGTGTTAAGAGAAAAACGGGAAATTTGACTACACAGATAGGTCTCCAACCATAGGGGAAAGGGGTGTCACAAGATTAAACATACCAGAGAAGAAAACATCAAACAAGATGCCATCATCCTACAAGTGAGAGACAAGGGTTAACTTCATGGACAAGATAAGCAGAAATACTTTATGCTAAAAAGAGGCTGTATCTTAATACTTATCTAAATAGTTCATGTTGTGGATATTCTGATTCACCATTAAAACTCTGAATATGTACAAAAAGCTCTCTAAACCACATTTCAACATATCAACCCACAAGTGACCGAGATTGCACTTCTACCTTCTCCCCTCTGCCTGGGTCTTGCACACTCACCTGGCGAGTGTGAACTTTCATTTTCTCCATCAAATATCCAGGGCTCTTCTCCGTGTTCTAACTTGAAGATCACGTCTGGCTTCATAACTTCATAACCTATTGGAAAAGCACAAAGGACTTGGAGCCAACTTCCTGAGCTTTAAGGTCTCAGAGGAATAAGCAAGGTTTAGCAGCAGACTTGATGCAGTGAAATTGCTCACTGGTATCACAACACAAGTAAATCATTTCCAGATGTAGTAACAGCCTCCCTGCTGACTAGCAGAGATGAAGAATCTTTGAGTTCTATGATTTAAGCCCAAAATTCAGTAGGCACCTCAGAGACTCTGGAGCTGAACTGTCAAATAAAAAAAAAATAACAACTCCTTCCAAATAACAATTCTTTGATTTACTGTCAGTCCTTGGCAAAGTTACTTAACCTCTTCTTCCCTCAATTTTATCATTAGGAAAAAAGCATGGTAACAGGACTTGACACCGAGAACTGCTTTAATGATTGCATCAGTCAGTATATAGAGTATGGCACACGGTGAGCTTTATGTTTGAGAGCTGCTGCACCATAGTTTCAGAGTCTGAATAGTAATGTTATGACTTCATTACTGGGGACAAGATCCACCCCACTGCCATTTAGTCAAGTCTGATTCATGCCAACCCTCCAGTGGGTTTTCAAAGCTGTAAATTTTTAGGGAAGGAGAATGCCTATCTAGTGGATCTTTTTTTTTTATAATTATATTTTATTAATTTTCATAAACATTTACAGAGATTTTGGGTTTCCATTCATTCACCGCTGCACCATTCTCTCTACCCTCCTCCCAGTTTGTTCTTGTCCAAATGCCACAGTGCTTGTCAAAGCCAGTTCTGAACTGGCAACCTTTTGGTTTGCAGTATCACCTATAAAGAACTTTGCCACCAGGATACCTTCCATTATAGAAGGTGAGGTCTAAATATAATCTCGGTGTCATAATATGAGACACAATCCAATCTCCTAAATTAAATTCCCATATAAATATTTCAGAGCCCCTCCCCATCCCCTCTCCCAAGCTCTTAGCAACTGACAAGAGAACAGGTCATTCACTGGGCACAGCTGAGGCGCTTACCCAGTGACACTAGGCTGCTATAGTTCTCCAACATGACATCCTTGTACAAGTCCCTCTGGCATGGGTCCAGCATCTGCCATTCCTTCTGGGTGAAGTCCACGGACAGATCTTCAAATGATAACGACCCCTGGAAGAGCACAGCAACAATAAACTGGAAGCAGTTATTACTTTAACATCATTTGAGAAAGAAGTATCAGAGTTTGGTCACACTGCTGTCATTTCAGCAAGATGGCCAGAAAGGCTTCTGTGGTCTGACACCTGCATTAAATACTGTGAGAGAAAATGCAACTGTGCCCCCTTCCACACTCATACAATGTATGATAGTTGGAACCACTGATTTTTAAATCCTCTGAGCCACTATAAATGAATTTATTTAAACACTTTGGCATAAGTGGTAGCCACAGAAAAGGTAAGAAAGACAGATTGTGGGCAACAGAGTTCATACTGTCTTGTTTCCTGTCATAAATAATTAGCTGATAGAACTTAAATTGTGTCTCCTCAAAATAAGTGCTACAATCTTTACCCCTATGCCAGTGGTTATTAATCCTCTTTGGGAGTAAAATGTCTTTAATGTGTTAATAAGTTTAGGGTAGGGGATATTTTGAGCCAATCTCTTTTAAAATATAGACTAAATGCAAATTGACAAGAGATAAGGAAAAGGAGAGGATAAACCACAAGAAGATCACCTAGGAGAAGAAATTCAAAGAGATAAGGAGTCTTCCAGGGTGGACAAGAGATGAAAAAGGACTGACCATCCATTTCTGAAATAACAGACTTCTGAAAACTCTATGAACAATAGAGGAACATAGTATTCAAGGTAGAACCTACATTGGAAATCACTCACAATAAGGAGAAATAACTGTAATAAATAACTTTAATAAATGGAACGTGGAAGGTATTAAATATGAATGTTGGAAAGCTATTAAAAATGAGATGGAATGCATGAAGATTGACATTCTGGGCATTAGTGAACTGAGATGAGAGAGGCATGGGCCAATTTGAATGGTTCAATCACATATGATCTATTATGAATGAATGAAAAAGTAAGAAAGAATGGTATTGTTCTCATGGTGATGAAGAAAATTTAAATATCTGTTCTAAAACACAGTGTTGTGAGTGACAGGATACTATACATACATACACAAGGAAGATCTGATAATGTGACTACTATTCAAATACATGTAGCAATAACTAAAGCTAAAGTATAGGAAATAGAAGATTTCTACCAACTTTCATAGTCTAAAATTGACCAAACATGCAATCAAAATTTATTAATAATAATTGGCCACCAAAATGTAAAAATTGGAAACAATGAGGAAGTATTAGTAATCTTGGTCTTGGTGACAGAAATGAGGCTGGACATCAACTGATTAAATTTTTTACATTCAATGACTTAGCATCAAAAATACCATTTTTTAATTTATTTTTTTAAATTAATTTTTGTGTTAGTATACCGTCAAATCAGATCTGACTGGTACAGGAGGAGATTGTCCCTCCTTTTCCCGGCAGAGCATCTGGTGGATTCGAACCATGTGCCTCTGGGATTGTAGTTGCAGCTCTTTGCCACTAGGCCACCAGAGCTCCCCAAAAATACCATTTTTAAAAACACAAAAGGTGACTTTACACATAGAACTCACTAGGCGGATTGAACAGGAATCAGACTGACTTTATCTGTGGAAAGACTTATTGGAAAAGTTCACTATCACCAGCCAAACCCAGGCCAGGTACTGAATGTGAAACAAACCATTGCTCATATGCAAATGCAAATTGAAGATGAAGGAAATTAAAACAAGTTCACAAGAACCAAATAATTACAATGAGCGTATCCCACCTGGATTTAAAAATCATCTTCAGAACAGGTTTGTGGCATTGAACACTAATGATCAAAGAACAGGTGAGTTAGAGACTGAGATCCACTAGGACAGTAAAAAAAGGTCATTACAAAGACAAAGGAGGAGGGGGCTCTGGTGGCCTAGTGGCAAGACGCTACACTGCAATCCCAGAGCCGCGGGCCGGGCGCACAGCCGCGGGATGTACTGAGGATGGGTGACCTGGCAGCTTGACATCTGTGAACTGATCGTCAACCCCATCCCACGGCTGAGCCCCAGGGACACTAGAGTCCTTCACACACTGCACCAACCAACATGCAGCGACGTGGACAGTAGGATTTAGAATCAGAACCCGGGAAGACAAAGCCATGTGCACTCGGCCATAACGGAAGACACCAGCGAGCTGCTGTGGGACCCTTCTGGCAGGAGAAAGGTGGGTGGACACTGGCTGAGTTCTTTTAAGCCCTGATAAGACCCCATGGGCTGTTGGAACTGAATTTTTCTGTGCCCCCACGATTGGGAAGGCTGGTAGGACCCTGGCTGGGTTTTCTTGGCACCACCGACTGCCTAGGAGAGCACCCCAAGTCGAGCCCACTGATGGGAATTTGGCCGAGCTCTCTTGGGCCACTCCGACTGCCCAGGAAGGAGCGGAAGTGGTAATTTGTCTGAACTTTTGTGGACACTGCAAAGCAGCCAGAGGCGAGTGAGTTGGTGGGAATTTGACTTTGAACCCATGACCCTGCTTGGGCAGGGGCCCCTGCTCGAGGGCACCTGCGTAAGTGCCAGTGGGCAGAGACCGCTGAGTGAGAACCACTGGGTGGGAGACAGACAGCTGGAATCTGAGCAGGGACCCCCGTCGTGAGCACACCGGGACAGCTGAAGTCTGAGTGAGGTCCCCAAGTGGTTGACCTGCCCTTGGGATCACCCCACTCCCGTGCGTGCCCCACCCCTTTTGGCTTCACACCTGTGCATACACGTCTGGTCAATCAACCTGCCTTTAATCCAGAGCACCTTGACCTGTCCTCTCACAGGCTCTGCACTGCCATTTCCCTGGAGTCAGAAGTTCAGAGAAACATACAAGTGGGTTAGCTGCCCAACTGATCTCTAGAGCATTGTCTTCAGGTCAAGAACAAATCAATGTCTTGAAGAAAGCAAGCTATCCCACACAATACACAAGAGCAAAGCAAGATGTCTCCCCCAGAGGGTGACACAGTATCAATGGATTTCCTGAAGCCAGAAAGTCTGATGGAACTTTCCAACACAGAATTTAATAGAACAGTGAATTTTTGCAATGGATGAAAAACAAACTTGAAGAATTATAGGATACTACAAGCAAAAACCACGAGGAGCTCAAAAAATCAATCCATAATGTAGATGAAACAAATGAGGTGTTTGTGGCACGGGAAAAGCAAGACAACATGATAAAAAATATGAGGGCCAATGTTTCAGAGGCTGTCACCATGATGGAGGGACACATGAGCTGAGTTGACATGGAACACAGAACCAGTGAAATAGAAGATAGAGCAAAAAGCAGCCGCAAAATGAAAGGAAAAAGAAGAAAACCTAAGAATAAAGCAGGACACCATCAAGAGAAATAACATGTGCATCACTGGAATCTCAGAACAGGAAGAAGCAAGTGAAGGCACCGAAAACGTGGTGGAAAAATTATGAGAGGGAAACTCACCAGGCATAATGAAGAATGAGAGAATGGGACTGCCATCAGGGTTGAGGGAAGACAGAAAAGGAGGGGAGGAATGATGTGCACTGTATTAAAACATATGAGGGAGGGAACTGTTTAAAACTGACATATGAGTAGGTATTCTTGTCATTACAGAAGTCCAGAGTGAAGGCTGCACAGTGGAGTGGAGTTGGGGGGTGGGGGAAGGGTTTGCATAACAATGAAAGAGTTTTTCTTAATTGGAGGGGAGCCATGGGTAGGGAGAAAAGTGCAACAATGAATGACTGGAAACTCTTAAGTCTGTAAACTTTCATTAAAATAAAAAAAATACAGAATACTCTAAAAAAAAAAAAGAACTGCAACTGGTTCCACAGTTAATACAGTTCTGCTCCAATACTGTGCCAATCTTGATATTCTAGTCTGAGGATATTTTTCCAGATCTTGATTTATTTTAACTTTTATATTTTCCTTTGTTTATTCAAACTCTTACAAATATTTCTTCTAATACATGAGAAAGCAAGGAATAAACAATTAACTCACCTGTACCATGGTCATTTTCTTCCAATCACATGAGATGGTTAGCAAGCCTGTTGTGTGTTCTCTCCTGTGTCTCTTGGGTCTCCACACCAAAGTCCTGCAGTGAGGGATCAAGGAGGTCTTCCACACTAAAAACAACTTCCTGCCAGAGCTTCCCTCTTATCTCACATAAGCAGTTTCTGGGGAACCAGTACCTATGGGCTTAGGAACAAAATGTTTTAGCAGATATATGTACTGTGCATAAACCCTCTTGATGCAATTGAAACAGGGCTCTCAGAAACAGAAACTGAATAGAGTATTACAGAATCCAAAATCCTTAAGTGGTGCTGAACACAGTTAAGCTGTGCTCCTATCAGATATGAACTAATTTTGAGATTTCCTTAATATTCACCATGAACAGGGAAATATAATTCACTTTAATAGGAATGTATTCTTATGTTGACTAAGTAAAAGTGTTTGACTGTAGGGAGCTCTGGTGGCCTAGTGTCAAGAAGCTGCACTGCAATCTCAGAGGTATGCAGTTCAAATCCACCAGATGCTCTGCTGGAGAAGGAGGACCAATCTCCTCCTGCACCAGTCAGATCCGATTTGACGGTACACATACACACAAAAAAAAAATTTAAAAATAAAAAAGCATTTGACCGTGTGGATCATATCAAAATTTGGCTAATACTGAGATAAATAGAAATCTCAGAACACTTACTTATACAGAACTTCTATATCGACCAAGAAGCTGAACAGAAGAACAAGGCAACAGTGCATGATTAAAATCAAAGTTGTGTATTAGAACTGTATCCTTTCTCCATACCTGGTCCATCTGTCTGCTGAACAAATGGTTTATTAATAACAATAGCTGCTGCAAATCATAGTGATCCCATAAACAACGGATCCAATCCTTGCCCCATCCTGTATAATCATCTGATACATTTGAACTCTTTGTGGTGGACAATGAGGGTCATCGTTGAGGGTCATCCTCGCTATTGCTGATCCTCCACCTTTGCAAGTATGATGTCATTCTCCAAAGACCAGCCTCCTCCTAACCATATGCCCAAAATACGTGAGATAAAGCTGTACCATCCTTTAAAGAGACCTGGGACTTCTATTCTTCCCAGTATTATCCATAATCTGTAATGATCCATACAGTCAAATGTGTTTGCGTAGTAGTAAAACAAGGAGACATTTTTTTGACAGTCTGTGCTTTCAGACTTATTTTAGGTGACACCATCAAAGAGAAAACTTTGTTCCACATCTTATTTTTAATCCAGTTTTCATTTCTAGTTGGTTCCTTCTGAGGTACTTGCTCAATCCTTTTTCATTCTCTTCCGTATGTTTACTTGGATGTGGTATGAATGACACTTCCACTAATTTCTGCATTCTGCTGGGTCACTTTCCTTTAGAATAGGCATAAAATCACTTTACAGTTCACAAAATCATGCTCTGCATTCTAGTGAAGTGAGTAGAATATGGGGGCTTAATAGTCTCCCAATGGCCACCTAAGCCACAATTATGGGTCTTGATTAATCAGAAGCAAAACAGTAAGAATACAGTAACCCAGGACCAGAAAAGTACACAAGGGCTACAACCTCCACTAGCCTGAAAGTAGAATTAGAAGTGCCCCCTCCTCTCACTGACCAGGACCACAGCAGTTGGTCTCAGACAGAATGAAAGAGAAAGTAATGGAAGACGGAGCAAATATCAAATTCTAATAGTCAGGAAAGGGGCAGGAGGATGGAAAGTCAGGACAAATGCAACAGAAGAAAACAAGAGGACAACCTGACACTATTGTTCCATGGCACTCTTTAAACTGACAACGGAACAGACATGAGGAAAATGGCAGAGTGGCATTTGAAAGAAATCACAGTATCTTTAAGACTGATGTCCTCGATAAAAAAAGTACCTGTCAATGGTCAAAAGATCAAAATTTCTCAAAAGTAAAGTCGAAAAGAAGACAACAAAATGAAAAGGCAAAAGTTTATAGTTAAAAGAGAAGCATCGGTTCGAATACACCAGATGCTCTGCTGGAGAAGGAGGGGCAATCTCCTCCTGTACCAGTCAGATCCAATTTGACGGTACACACAAAAAATATAATAAAAGAATTTTTTAAAAATTTTTAAAAAAAAGAATAATACATTGTACACTTGCACACACATAGTGCGTACACACACACACACACACACACACACACACACACCTTAAACAAATTAAAAGGCAAACAATAAAGCACAAAAGCATACCTATAAAAAGTACACCAGTTCCTTCTCATTAGACCTTCACTTTGTTGCATTTTCATGTAAAGAAAAGTCTTACACTGGAAAGACTAAAACTAATAATTTAAACTATTTCCTTGAGCTGACAGTCAAACTTGACAGTGTCACTTTAAACTTTACAATCTTGTTACAAAGTATGAATTTACTAAAAAGTCATACAAAGTATGAAGTTACTAAAATAGGAATGGGTTTTGGTGAGAACATTTTATATATAAAGTAGTGCAGTTTACGTACAAATAATGCAAATTTGTAACAGAACATGCAGATTTCAGACTTTTAGGTTGATGGGTTATGGCAGGCAATCTGTGTGGTAATATAAAATATTTCTACTCATATTTAAGTTGTGACTCATAGCAAGGTAGGGCCTAGATATAAATTTACTTTACACATTTAAACAACTGTGTACTAAAGTTGATCCTAGAAGGAGAAATTGTCCTTTGAATTAACCTTCTTATATTTGGTTCTATCTGGCATGCCGCTATCATGGGTGTTGACTGTGGATCCAAGTAAAATGAAACCATTGACAATTTCAATTTAACCTTTTCTCTATTATGATGTTGTCCTTCGGTACATTTGTTTATTTTTAAAAATTTTATTTTATTATTTTTTGTGTGTACCATCAACTCGAATCTGACTGGTACAGGAGGAGATTGCCCCTCCTTCTCCAGCAGAGCATCTGGTGGATTCAAAGTATCTCTGGGATTGCAGTGCAGCTTCTTGCCACTAGGCCACCAGAGCTCCCTTGATTTTTTTGGCTTTTTTTTTAATTTTCTACTAGGTACATTTGTTTTAGAGAAAAAGAAATATATACATATGGAAGGACACAAAAACATCTCACTCCAGTGGTTGATTCTATGGAGACTGAGAAGCCAAGCCAAGACACTTATTTTCCATATTATACTCAATTTTACCTTTTAAAAATAGTTAAAAAATAGTAAAAAAATTAACAACAAAAAAAAAGTACTCAATTTGTGAAAAACAGCAGTCTTTTATTCCACCCTCTCATATTCAGATGAAAATCTGACACAAGTAGATGAAAAACCCAGAAATTCTGAGTGGACTGTCAAAATAAACAGCAGCCAAGAAATCCAAAACACAGACAAGGACTCGAGGAGAACGACCCCTCTTCCTCAGCAGCTACCATCAACCTTGTGATGTTGTTTATGCAAGGTAACAGTATGACAGAGAGAGAAAACACTGAACCTGTCAAGGACTACATCTTACGTGCATCCACAGTCAATACCAGCGATCAGGGGATCAGGAGACAGGAAAGTGTAGTCAGGCAGCTCTTGAAATTACTGACTCCGGCTGACTCACACGAGGACTTTACCATCTTTTAAAAATTAACATGAAAACAAACATCTAAGAAGTTTGAGAACCCAGGGGCCAAGCAAGGCGGCCACGAGTGAGGCTCTCTCCCCATGACACACAACAGCACTGCACCCCTGGGCTCCAGATCGCTCAGAGGTGTCCCCAAGACCCACCGCAGGGCTGTACCCCAAGTCACTTATAACATCGAGAGGTGCCCCAATGACCCACCGCAGCGCTGTACCCTAAATCCCCTAAAACACACAGAGATGCCCCAATAACCCACCGCAGTGATGTACCCCAAATCTCTCGTAAAACCCAGAGGCGCCCCAAATCCTTCATAGCACCCAGAGGTGCCGCGATGCCCCACCTGAGCGCTGTACCCCAGATCCTTCCTAACACTCAGAGGTGCCCCGATGACCACCTCGGCGCTGTACTCCAAATCCCCCACACTGTCCACAGGCGCTCGGCCATGACATTTGGCCCCCTGGGTCCTCTGTATCATCACTGTCCATCTCAGAGGCCTCGAAGCACGAAACCTCACAAGTACGATCCTTCCACAAACTCGCCGCCTCGCACGCCAGGCCGACCCACCCCGGCAGCGGCCTCGTCGGAGCCGGGCGGCGCCACGTGGACCCTCAGCCCGGGGTGCGGCGTGGTCTGCGTGCACTGCCCTCCCAGCCCGCCCCCAGGAGTCACCGCACTCACCGGACAGTGAGCGCTCAGGACAAAGGGCGGCCGCACCAGCCAAGGGTTTGCGCAATCGCGAGAGTGCGCATGCGCGAGAGCCCAGCGCCCGCAACACCCCCCCTTCCCAGAGTGCTGCGCGGCACGCAGGCGTCGGCACATCCCGGAAGTGCCTGCTTACCTCCTGGAGAAGCTGGTCGGTGCTGCGCAGCTGCTGCGGTTTGGTGGCCACCGATCTGTTAGAAATAGGTTTACTAGGACGAAAGCGCCTGGGTCGTTTAGACGTTAAGTGATCGGCCACTTTACGTGCAGAAACAAAAGGAGGAGCCTCTGAAGAAAGGCCTGCAGTTCTTCTCGAAACTGTAGGGAGCGCAGTACCCACCTGGGGACCCCTTGACTACAAATAGATTGTGGCACCTGGTCTTAATCTTCTTTCAGGCTAGATTTCCGTCACCCTTAGCCTCCACCTCCTCTAGTTTCAGTGGCAGACCTGATGACATGACCTCCCCTTGTCAGAATATGATTGCAGGCTAGGATTTAGCATCACAACTGGGACTCTGGTACATCTCATGAAACCACACATACTTATTTCTCCCTGTTTCGGTGGGTCAGGTGACAGTACCTTTTACTTCTCATGATTATTTTACACAACTGATGATCCCTGCAATGACAGAGGTACCCGTCCTTCTTACACCCCTTTAGCTCTGAAACTATATATTCTTACTGCGTAGTTGATACTAGATAAAAATC